TTTCACACACCACTTTGTCTCACACCATCTTTTACCTCACCATCCTTCACACACCACTTTGGCACACACCATCTTTCACCACCCCATCTTTCACACACATCTTTGTCACACACCATCTTTCACACACCACATTGGCACACACCATCTTTCACACACCGTCACAGACCATATTTCACACACCTTCTTTCACACATCACATTGTTACAAACCATCTTTCACATACCATCTTTCACACACAACTTTGTCACACACCATCTTTCGCCACACCATCTTTCACACACACCACTTTGTCACACACCATCTTTCCAACAGAACTTTGTCACACGCTCTCTTTCACACACAACTTTCACACACACACACCATCTTTCACACACAACTTTGTCACACACGCACAATCTTTCTTTGTCACACACCATCTTTTACATACAACTTTGTCACACACAACTTTGTTTTACTTCTCGATCCTCCACCACCTCCTCTGTCTTTCCTTCCTTCCCCGGCCCCGCTACGACATTATGTCATTATGTATGTGCTTATTATTGGAAGAAGTTGTCTTGTGGGGTTATCCGGTCCTTTAATTCTTTGTGTTGCTGAGATTGTAAGAAAAACGACGTCAAAACGATTTACAAACGACGTAAGAAACGACGTTGGAACCAGACCCTATAGCCACTCCTGGCCAACACAGACACCAAGACAGGAAAAACTAGACAATCCAATGTCAGAATTGTTGCAAAGCATGATTGACCAAATCAGGCCACAAGGCAAGCATCCAGCAGAGTTCCCAATGGCACCGCTGAATCCAAACAACCACATATATATATCCCCTAAGCAGGTTTTGATAGCAAAACACATAGACACCGCAACAAAACTCAAGAAAAGTGCACTGAACACATCAGAGGTCACCAATGTTTAGGGGGCAGGCACGACTTCTTATGCTAACTTCTCTGCAGCTAATTCTGGTATTCTGCAGCCCGTGGGCACGACATTGTCTGTTCCCTGTACGGCAGTCATTCCCAGGCGCAACGATGACTAATAATGCCACGACCCAGTCTACCAAACATCGATGGGCCAATCAACTCCGTGTGATCAACTTGGTGGCAGGAATAGCAGCAACAAAATAGCAGAAAGGCGGCCTTTTTTTTTGTTGCTCGGTCGTCCTTGTAATATCGGAGGAGAAATAAACCTCCTGAGAGACTCACGCCCCGGGGATCGAAAAGAAAATACCGAGTTCATAGAATATTTAATACTGAACAACAAACAAGCCCATGACTCCAATGGACTTCAGCTAACTCAATGGCCTTCAGTTTTGAAATTTGGCACCAAATAATACCAAATAGGTAGGGCGCAATTCAGTTCTAAATTGATTGCTCATGAAAGAAATGAGTGCCAACTAGATACGCTGATCCCTTGCAGGGAACCTCGCAGAACTTTGAGGATTCTAGAACATATTGGATGGATGGACAAACAAACAAACAAACAAGCAAGCAAGCAAGCAAGCAAACAAACAAACAAACAAACAAAAAAGCAAACAAGCGAACATGCGCAGTGGCTTGACTTGGAACCCTTTTCAGAAGCTTTGGGAATCCGGTCGTGGAGGTAAAACCCTGTCCCTGGTGGACATCCCAAAAATGAACAAAATAGCCTTAGCTGGGATGCTCATCTACCCAGCCCTCTCGGAACCTTTCAGACCATCTGAGTGGGTCTTTTACCTCAACTATCCGGACTGTTTCCAGACCTTCATGGAATCTCCTTGGATTCTTGGTCTGGAAACTCTTGCGCCTCCACCCTTGCAAGCTTCAACTTCAAAATCGTAGACCCTGTCCGCTGTCGGAACTCTTCAAACATCTTCGAACCCAGATTGGAACCTTATCGGCACCTTGTTCGTAAAGCTCCTTGAAGATTTCAGAATGTCTGAGAAAGTTAAAGTCGCAGCGCCCTGGACTGGACCCAACATTCTATGGTTAGGACACCTTGTCAATACAATGCCATATATCTGTCGATTCATAGCTGTTGCGGGGAAAAGGGCACGAACAAAAATGACTGATTTGTAATTGATTTGTTTCATAGATTATGGGCAGTATGGGCATCTGTGTTTTTTATTCCCTCCCCTTCTTGTCTAACATTCAACAGCGAGGGCATCGAGGCCTTTCACCCAAGACAGAGGAGCCACATCAGAAATTTCGGGCCGGGGTCCCTCCAGGGTTTCCTCAGTTGTTTTTTTCAAACCAGTACAGTTTCATCCCACAATAAGTACTTAATATATCTTAATATGCTGGTTTGGGTGCCAGTGGTTTGGAATCCCTAAATCAACAGTGGTACAGGGTTCTGACACATTCCCCAACACCTAAGCTTCGTAAGTCTGAAGTAAGGAAAAACTAGCATTCCATTGAAACATCCCCAAATTTCATCAAGTTTGCGAAATTTTGTTTATGTTTTTTCCCAGCTTTGGACTAGCATCATGCAGCATCCACCCCCCACCCCCTCCGCCTGCCTGTACCTCGCAAGCCTTGCACCGAGGCAGTTCGCAGATCCGCGGACAGTCTCAGGACAGTGGTTAGAACACCTGGGAACCTGAGCCGAGTGGAGCCACGCTGATGGGCGAACCAAAGCATCTAAAAGGAAGGGCTGCCATCCAAAAAATGAGCGAATTTGTTGGTTTTTCACATTCCCATTCACCTCATCATCAATTGATATCAATTGGCCAATTCCATGAACTGAAACTACAAAAGGCTAAAGAGCTGCTGCTGCTGATCATGCTGACGCCCTTTCTACACTCAAGAAATTACCACTTAAGGCTTCAAAAGGCAGCAAAGGGCCGGCCGTTGAAATCGGCAATGGGCACATGCGCAACATGTCCCAGAGTTTTGAGCAACGTGCGTTGGCCAACTTTGATTCAAAGGGCCAGCAAAACGCATTGCACAAACGAGGAAAAGCGAGGCAAACGGACAGATTTTCTGCGGCAATCTGGAATTCACCTGAAAAGATCTGAAAAGGTTAAGTAAATACAGTATTACTCATATTTACTCACTATGGTAACCAATGGTTGAGTGATGTTGAGTGATGTTGAGTTGATCACTTGTGTCATTTGCAGATTTTGCAGTAGCACAGCCAATGCATCCACATGCGCCACAGGTCAGGTCTAAATGCCCGACTCCTCATGACATCTGGCATCCGGCCCTTACAAACATGGGTCGACACAGGGCTACACAGTTTGCTCCATGGATCTGATCTGCAATTTTCAGATTTCTGAATCCTCCAACCAAATTAAACCGGGAGAAATTGCGACAGGGGCAAAACAAGCTTTTCTTCGTGACATGTTTCTCTGATATCTGATACTGTACTGAACCAAATGAGAAACTACAAAGCCGTTGTCGGAAATACCAAATGGATCCAAATGAGCGGTGGCGAAAACCCCTATGTCATTCTCTTATAATCTTACTTGTCTTCCGCACGGTCTTCCGCGCTGCTTCCGCCATCACAGTTTCAGCTTCCGCGGATGGTTGGTAAGTTGATTCTGCTTCCGCGGAGCTTCCGCGAAAGCCAGCTCCTCATGAAATCTACAAATTGATTTAGCATTGATGGAAATTGATTGACTTTGATTGTGGAGAATAGTGGGTGATGTTTGGTTTGTTTGTGCAAATATATGTATGTATACGTATATTAAATATATATATATATATAAATCTAATACGGTACTCAAATCGTCTTCCGTGGCCCTTCCGCGATCGGACGATCAGCGTCTGCTTCCGCAAGCCCTTCCGCGCGCTTCCGCGGACGTGGGTTTCACTTCCGCGGGCCCAACTTAGTTTAATCCCCAATTAACTTTCTTGCTTGGAGGTTTTTGACGCTGCTCAAATGGTGTCTTCAGCATCTTTGATCGCTCAAGATAATGCTCCATCGGGATACCTTATAAGTCATTCTCCTAGCATTCAGGTGTTGTCTCATTACATTCAGGTGTTAAGTTCGGTTTGACTCAGCAGCAAAGCAACTGCATGCACTTTTTCCCTTGAATTTTGCAACACAGTCGTGCTCTGGATTTTGCATTCTACTGTTTGAAAGGCTGAGCAAAGTTGCGCAATGTAAATGTAATTTTCAATCAAATCGATGTTTTTTTGGTTATATTGCATTGGTACTGTGTGTTTGCGCTACGATTCGAATACTTGGATGGTGTTGGCTTGTTTGCAATGGGTAGTGCCAGCCTCAAGCCACAAAACTTGCAAACAATGACGCTTATCACGCAAAATAAACCGATAGAAAGATCAATTGACATGGTTTCATGACCAAAAAATCTCAAATTCAAGCTTGGCTGAACGGTTTTTACATGGAAAACCTGTATGGGCAGCGCATGACTTCAAAGCATGTTCATGCACTGCGGCGTCCCGGCGTCCCGGCACCCGTGATGATAAAACGCAAGCCAATCTTGCACCACCCTTGGCGCAGCGAGCAGTACGGCGCAGTCGTATCAGTAAATCAAAATCAGACTTAGTAGCACATAATTCGGGTTCCTGGGGGGTCCGTTTGCTTCATGATGTTCTTGCTGCTGTTTTTCCGGAAGTCATGCGCTGCCCATACAGGTTTTCCATGTAAAAGCCGTTCAGCCACGCTTGAATTTGAGATGTTTTGGTCATGAAAACCATGTCAGTTGATCTTTCTATCGGTTTATGTTGCGCGATAAGCGTCATTGTTCGCAAGTGTCGTGGTTTGAGGCTGGCAGTACCACTGCCAAACAAACACAATTATTCAAATTGTCGCACAGACACACAGTACCAACCGGAAAAAAAAAAACACACATCGGTGGCATCTATTTGATTGATCGTTTTCATTTTACATTGTTCTCCTGTGTTTAACCTCAAACAGTAGGAGCGCAAAATCCAAAACATGATTGCGTGCAGTTGCCCTGCTGCAGACATAACACCTGAAAGCAATGAGACAACACCTGAATGCTAGGAAAATGACTTTTATAATGATCATTGTATTCATTTATAATTCATAATCTATAATAGACATCTGCACCACGTCAGCAACAACGATTTTGAAAGCTGCACCTAGGACTGCCTAGGACTGTGACTCTTCAAGAGCTCTCCGTGAGCCTGCGGCAAAATCCTGCAAACCATCATCCAGTTCACTTGGAGATCCATCTACGCCCATGTCCTGTCCTTGGAAGTGCATCCACCCACACCCTCCGTGAACAGGATGTGTTCATAATATGCTTTCATGATATTCGTGCAGATTCTGCTACTGGGTAGTGCAATGCATGTCAATATGTCCCATCTTAACATCATTCAATCACTAGGCCAGCTAATTGAAATCACTAGCACCAACATCCAACAACTATCTCAAGTTGATGTTAGCCACACATTCAAACTGCGTAGCTTGGGAAACCTTGGGCTTTTCAGTGCACTTTGCGCACAGACAAATCTTACACTTTGAATGGGCAAAAGATGGCATGAGCGGGCTAGTTGGGGCAAGCTCCTGCATACCAGCGAGGGAACTGACTGATTCTAGCTGGTCAAAGATCCAGCCGGGGATTACGTGGGCCATCATGTGTCATCAAACAAGGCCTACTATATAACTCTATTTACACATTGCTGGTCCCTGCTTGACTTCCGCCGAAAGCGATGTCATGCTGCAAAGCTGCTCGCTCTTGATGTAGTTTCGCACAACTTTGGCACCTTACAGGAGTGTGTTGGGGGTCGAAGAAATGAAAGCTTGAGAACTCTCAAGTGCCGCATGCGTCAATTCCAGTCTTGAATCAAATGTGCTACGGCGCATTCATCTCTTAATCAAGCCATATAACATATAACTTACAAGTAGAAAAAACGTCGGAATAGAAATCATGACCGAACTGGATTTCTATATATTTCAATCTCATATGACTCAGATGATTGCCATGTCAAAAATCTGATGGAAACATGGGCTGCAATCGGACGGAGAACATCTCATAGCAGTCTGCAAGGTAGAACTTTAATCAACACGTCTTGTCTGAAGTTCACTCGATACATTGCAGAAACTCTTGGAACTTTATGTTGACTTACGCTCAAGCAATTGGATTGAAACGGATTGAATGTAATCAGTTGCAATCACTTCAGCCACTTTTTATCACTGTTTGATACTTTTTGACTGTATCAACGCCTCAGCTGGAAGACACCTCCTTTCCCATTGTTGACCGGGTGGCTGTTGCGAGCTTTGTTGAGTTCAGGACTCTTCCATGGCTTTCCCATCTCGTCCAAAAGGTTCCTGCCGCATAGGCTCCAAAGGAAACGGTCTCTCGAATTAAGAGGGTGACTAGCGACTAGGCAAATGACCGATGATTGGTGCTCCTTGTCTTCTCAAATTTCAATGTTCAGAAGACAGAAGCGTGAAGCATTTTTGGGGAGGCTGTACTATGAGTTGCTGCACAGCAACTTACTTCTTGTGCTTCAGTTGGTGGTGGTGGGAGCTTGCGTTCAACTGCTTAAATAGTAATGAAGAACACTTCCTGCAACTGCCTCATCCCAATTAACACGTCCAATGCTGTCATACTTTGGACGCTTCATCACCTGCAAATTTGGAGCATTGACCTTGGTCACTGCTGCACCCAGGTCGGCCTGCCAGAATCAAAGCCAGAGCTCTCTCCGCCCAGCTTCAAGTCATGGTCCAAGATGCCTGAACCGTCGATGGCCCATGGCTCAAACTACAGAACCAAAAAAGTGGGGGTTGAGGTGTCTCGATTTTGATGTGGGACATAACAATCGTAATCTAAAATGACAAAGCACTATGATCCACGTAGGAAGAGGCACTTTGTTTCTGAGACCCTGCCAAGTTGCGCAAATTGCCCTCATACTGGACACCCAGCTGCATACGTGGCTTCTCGCCCCACTCCGAGCCTGGCACGGGTCTTAAGTTCGGTACCCCAAAACATTGTAGCTTGATGCAGCTTGGTCGTCCATTGCTTTTGGGCAGAAACAATAATTGAGTGTCAAAAAAAACCTTAATTAGTCAGGTTCAGACAATCAGGTCTGGGGGCGAATATACGATGTGGTAACTAAAAACAAAACCAGGCCAATAAATCGCAATAGTATATTGTTGCATTATAGTTCGATACTTTGAGGTATGCTTTGGTACTTTGCAAAGCGTATCTGACTGTAGCAACCGCTTCCCAAGGTCAACGTCCGCAGCTCCCATTCCTCACCTTTGTAGACTTTCCCCGTGCCACGCAAATAGCTTCCATCTGCAGGTTGCTGTTGGGGGATGTGGAAAAGTTCCGAGTGTACGTTTCAACTGAAAGAAAGGAGGTCATACTCTCCGATTAGGTTTGTATCCACATTGTCACATGTATCTGCTGGACTGTCGAAAGTAAGCATGGTCATGCATAGTCTGCGAGATGTCACAACACTCTAAGTGTCAGTGGAACCAACAGTGCTTCCAGCTTCCAACAGTGCTTCCAGTTTCCAAAAAAGTCTGCACCTCAATTTGTTTTTTTGCTAGCCAAAATCTAAATTCCGAATGAAGGCAAAGTCAAACGCAAAGAAAGGTTGATTGAGGTTGACTGAATATGCTTGTGGTGAAATATATCGTGCAAGAGTACCATTATCTCAACGAAACAATGAGTGACAGAGCCCACTCTTGGTGCTCAACCTAAATTCTTTGCAACTTCGACAGTCCGACTGAACTTAAAGATCTAAAAACGCCTTGGAATTCCACCCTTGGAAGTCGGACTTCAGCTGCTTGCCTGTCTAAGGGGACTGGGAGCACAGGCTGGGCGTCAAGATTGTCAAAGGGTGATAGCAGACCTATGGATCTGGACTTTATGTCAAGAATTTCAAGTGCTATGCCTCTCCGTACGATGGAAATATGCAACTGCTGCAACCCTTTCCCTTTCATTTTCATCATTCTGTCAAGGTGCTGAAGACCCTTCTTGCCGCTGGATAACTGATACTGTGCATCCACCCCACTCCTTGGCTAGGGACTCATATCTGAAATTAGGCAGGCATGCAACAGCATTCTTTTGATGTCATTGCTACATCGATGCTGCACAGCACCTTCAGTGTCCTCTGTGCAAATTGGAAACCAACCGGTGTGTCAGAAACGTTCTCCCCATTCTGCTTGAATTCACATGCGATCGTGCTGTCGTTTCCCAGTGCAGTTTAGTGCAATGTTGGCTTTCAAACCTGCCCCAGTCGGATGCCCTTTGAAACTGGCAGGTAGGGGAACATGGTGCTCCCTGCAGAACTATGCGATGCTCCAATGCTCCCTGATAGTCAAAGTAAAAGGTGGTGGTGCCGTGACACCGTGAGGTGATAGAAAATCCGAACTCCAGGGTCCATCCATACCTAGATCCTCATGCAGGATATCTGGCTGAATGCATTCAGTCAGGAAACCAGCCCGAATCTGAGGATTGCGCCCGAGGCTCCAGATTCTGCCCGACACCACTAGGCCAAAAATCCGCCGACCCCGGCCTTAGCCATGGCCGGGGCGGTGCCTGGGACCACCTTTGGTGTGGACTTCATCTTGTCCTGTTCCTCGAGCTCTTGGAGCTGCCAAACCGCCACGTCTTTTGTTTTTATTGGCTCGACAATGCCGGATGCTTCCTTCAAACCGTCCAAACCTTCCGACACCTGACCTGCCGCACCGGCTCTTGAAGCTGCAACACTATGGCCCGAAACTGCCGGATGTGTTCAAAGTTCAAACCCTCCGCAACCTTCGAAACCGGCTCTTGGAGCTCTTGGAGCTGCCAGCTGTGCCACGCCGAGCCTTTCCTTTTCTACTGGCCCGAAACTGCCGGATGCTCCCTTCAAACCCTTCAAACGCTTCAAACCCTCCGATACCTTCCAAACCGGCGCTTGGAGCTGCCAGCTGTGCCATGCCAAGTCTTTCATTTTTTCCTGGCCCGCAACTGCCGGATGCTCCCTTCAAACCTTCCAAACCTTCCAAACCTTCCAAACCTTCCAAACCTTCCGAACCTTCCGAAACCTGCCAAACCGTCACTTGGAGTTGCCAAACTATGGGCTGCATGTGGCAGGCCACGTCTTTCCTTTTCTCTGGCCCGAAACTGCCGGATGCTCCCTTCAAACCCTTCAAACGCTTCAAACCCTCCGAAACCTTCCAAACTGGCTCTAGGAGCTGCCAGCTGTGACACGCCAAGTCTTTCCTTTTCTACTGGCCCGAAACTGCCGGATGCTCCCTTCAAACTCTTCAAACGTTCCGAAACCTGCCAAACCGTCTCTTGGATTTCCAAACTATGGGCTGTGCTCCCTTGAAACCCTTCAAACGTTCCGAAACCTGCCAAATTGTCTCTTGGAGTTGCCAAACTATGGGCTGTGGCAGGCCACGTCTGTCCTTTTCTACTGGCCCGAAACTGCCGGATGCTCCCTTCAAACCCTCCGAAGCCTTCCAAACCGGCTCTAGGAGCTGCCAGCTGTGCCACGCCAAGTCTTTCCTTTTCTACTGGCCCGAAATTGCCGGATGTTCCCTTACTTGGAGGGCCGGGGGCGGTTATAAGTACATAGCAAGGTTAGAGCACTTATATAACCTACTTACTAAGTGGTGTAACCTACCTTATAAGTGGTGCGAAGTTACCTTATAAGTGGTGCTAAGCGGGTTGCTGTCTCTAAGTCACTTACATAGGTATAGTTACTGTTTTCGGCCAAGTATATATTATGTCCCATAAATGATTACGCAACTTATGGCACTTGGCTAACCACTTGGCCTATGTGGGCTAAGTGAGATAGGCAGCTTACGCCCTAAGTGGCCTAAGTCCTGTAAAGGACTTACGCTACTTACGTATCTAGGCTAAGTGCACTTACAAAAATTCGCGGAAACACAAAATTCCGTTGCAAGAATTTTGTGGAAACACAAAAATCCAAATCGCGTTTTGCGGAAACACAAAAGCGCTCGCGGACTTAGGTAAGTGCTGTAAGCCACATACGTAAGTGCGCTAAGTGCTGTCCCAGTAAGTCCACTAAGTGACATACTGTAAGCGCTGTATCCAAATAGTAAGTGCCGTATGTACCTAGTATGTCCCTTATGTGCTTATAACCGCCCCCGGGCCTCCAAGTAAAACCCTTCAAACGTTCCGAAACCTGCCAAACCGTCTCTTGGAGTTGCCAAACTATGGGCTGTGGCAGGCCGAAACCTTCCAAACCGGCTTTAGGAGCTGCATGCCAGCTGTGCCACGCCAAGTCTTTCCTTTTCTACTGGCCCGAAACTGCCGGATGCTCCCTTCAAACCCTTCAATGTCAAACGTTCCGAAACCTGCCAAACCGTCTCTTGGAGTTGCCAATATGGGCTGTGGCAGGCCACGTCTTTCCTTTTCTACTGGCCCGAAACTGCCGGATGCTCCCTTCAAAGGCTTCAAACCCTCCGAAACCTTCCAAACCGGCTCTAGGAGCTGCATGCCAGCTGTGCCACGCCAAGTCTTTCCTTTTCTACTGGCCCGAAACTGCCGGATGCTCCCAATTAAAACCCTTCAATGTCAAACGTTCCGAAACCTGCCAAACCGTCTCTTGGAGTTGCTAACTATGGGCCGTGGCAGGCCACGTCTTGCCTTTTCTACCTGGGGAGCCATTTGATCACAAAAAACGTGCACATACCGCTCTCGTCCACGAAAAGATATTTTTACGGCCATACGCTGTTTTCACGGCCATTCGCATTGTGCCGTCTACAATTTCACGTTTTTCACGGTTTTCCACGGCTATTCAACGTTTTTCCACGGCCAAATGCACACTTTTTCACGGCCAAATCTTGTTTTCACGGCCATATCTTGATTCCAAGGCCAAACCGCTTTTTCGAAGCCATTTGGCCAAACGGCCTTTGGCCTCCTTTGTCGCGATCAAACGGCCCCCCAGGTACTGGCCCGAAACTGCCGGATGCTCCCTTCAAACCCTTCAAACGCTTCAAACCCTCCGAAACCTTCCAAACCGGCTCTAGGAGCTGCGGCTGTGGCCGGATGCTGACTTCAAACCCTTCAAACGCTTCAAACCCTCCGAAACCTTCCAGACCGGCTCTGGGAGCTGCCAGCTGTGCCACGCCAAGTCTTTCCTTTTCTACTGGCCCGCAACTGCCGGATGCTCCCTTCAAACCCTTCAAACGTTCCGAAACCTGCCAAACCGTCTCTTGGAGTTGCCAATCTACCCAGAGCCTCCAAAAGTCCTTAATTAAGGTAGCTACCTTACTTAAGTGATCTGGAGGCTTGCCAAAAATCATGGTTTTGGAGACCTTACTTAAGTGATCTGGAATTTTGGCCAGATCACTTAATTAGGGTCTCTGGATCTTTGCTTTTTCATTGATGTTTTTTGATGAGACATTGATGAAATCATGTTTGCTGTATCTTGATCTCCTTTGAGGAGATCATTGGCTCAAACCAAGTTTTCTGTGCCTTGCATGCCCAGAAGGTTGGCAACCACACAGGTGCTTCTGGCTTGTTTTGTTTCTCTGCAGGCTTGCAAGTTGAAGCTGCACCTTTGTCATCATAAGGGGGAAAAGAGATGTAAGAGTGGTAGCCAAAGGGTTCAAAAATATGTAAAAGTGATAGCCAAGGAGTATAATATATGGGGGAATTTCAGGGGTGTAACAAGTGGTAACCAATTAGCAAAGGGGTGGACAGATGTTTTTTTCCCCAGATAGCTGGCAAGCTATAGGGGTTCTTACTTCTCAAAGGTGGGGTCTTCGGTGGCGAACTTTGAGCCCAGGGTGCTGTGCAGGGTGCTGTCCAGACTGCGGTGGCGAAGTCTGGCAAAGGTGCTGTGCAGGCTGCTGTGCAGGCTGCTGTGCAGGGTGCTGTGCAGGGTGCTGTGCAGGGTGCTGTCCAGACTGCGGTGGGCGAAGTCTGGCAAAGGTGCTGTGCAGGGTGCTGTCCAGACTGCGGTGGCGAAGTCTGGCAAAGGTGCTGTGCAGGGTGCTGTGCTGTGCAGGGTGCTGTGCAGGGTGCTGTGCTCGGTGCAAGGGTGCTGTCCAGACTGCGGTGGCGAAGTCTGGCAAAGGTGCTGTGCAGGTGCTGTGCAGGGTGCTGTGCAGCTGCTGTGGCGAAGTCTGGCAAAGGTGCTGTGCAGGGTGCTGTGCAGGGTGCTCTGCAGGGTGTTGTCCAGAGTGCGGTGGCGAAGTCTGGCAAAGGTGCTGTGCAGGGTGCTGTGCAAGGTGCTGTGCAGGGCTGTCCAGACTGCGGTGGCGAAGTCTGGCAAAGATGCTGTGCAGGGTGCTGTCCAGACTGCGGTGGCAAAGTCTGGCAAAGGGTGCTGTGCAGGGTGCTTTGCAGGGTGCTGTCCAGACTGCGGTGGCGAAGTCTGGCAAAGGTGCTGTGCAGGGTGCTGTGCAGGGTGCTGTGCAGGGTGCTGTCCAGACTGCGGTGGCGAAGTCTGGCAAAAGTGCTGTGCAGGGTGCTGTGCAGGTGCAGGGTGCTGTCCAGAGGCGAAGTCTGGCAAAGGTGCTGTGTAGGGTGCTGTGCAGGGTGCTGTGCAGGGTGCTGTGCAGGGTGCTGTTCCTTGCCATGAACCAAACGCAAACATTCTGGTACCGGTCCATTAAGCAAAACAAAGCGTTCTTTACCGGTCCATTAAGCAAAACCAAAAATTGTAAAGAAACTGTTTTCATATCATTTTGACATGCACCTTTTTCGTGCAAAAACATTTTTATGCCGGCCCAGCAGCCGAACGCAAACATTCCGCTACCGGTCCATTAAGCAAAACAAAAGGTTCTGTTACCGGCTCAGTAAACAAAACAAAACAACATTAAGAACCATGAGTTTTAACTTTTTGGAATCAACAGATCCTTCCACTGGTAACGTATGCTTTTTCAGGTTTGGAACCATGAGTTTCAAGCTTTCGCAACCGGCAATTCCTTACAATGATAGCCGCTTAGCTTCGAAAACATAAATTCTAACTTCTGGGAACCGGCAATTCCTTGCAATGGTAACCTCTGGTTCCCAGGTTGGGAACCGTAAGTTTCAAGGTCTGGGAACCG